TTTTTTTTTGTCCGCTATTGCACCTGCATATTGCCCTTGCATCACCGCCAGAGGCAGCCGATTGACGAGGACCAGCGCGCCGGTCCCATGATCTTCGAAATACTACCTGGCGTCGGCTCCAATGGCACCACATCGTCAAGCATCTTGCCCTTCACAATATGTACATACTTCCCCTCGTGCTCACCAACCGTCACAACATAGGAGGCGGCCAGTGTTACACCAGGCGTGGTGAGTAGAAGTTCCTTCTCTGGTGTGATCTTGAGCAGGTACTTGTAGCTAAGGGTGCTCGGGCTGTTCTCGCGGTATATCATGCGCATCAACATATTCGACTGTGCTGAGAGGCACTCCCGTCGTGGATTCGTGTAGCGGAGCTTCCAGTTCTCGTCGTTCTCAAGCGCGTTGCGCGCCTGGTAGCGGTGAAGCAGCGAGTCGTACTCCCAGAGGTGCACCATCTGGTTGACGCCACCAACCTGCACCACCCAGTAGCCCTGGCACCTGCTCACAGACGCACGCATTGGCAGCAGTTCCATCGACATGCGGTGAAACGTGTCGTACTTGTTCGGTATAATGTCATAAACGCGTAGCTCGTACACTTTCTGCTGGGCGATGGAGCGAAAAGGGAAAGAGCGATGCAGCATGGTGGTGATCCTGCGCTTCGCGTGTTTCTTTTTTTTTTTTTGATATTGTTAATTGTTTTGTGAACGGTATATAATTCGACAGGCAGCTTTTTTTTTCTTCTCTTTGTGCTGCTCGCCTCTTGTTTTTGTTGTTGTCTCCCACTTCTGATATAGGCTTTGAGCGAGTTGACGAGAGAAGCTGCTACTGGCTTACTTCCTTGCTTTCCCCTCCTGTTATGTTGGCACTGCTGTTAAGAAGAAGAGCGAGAAACAGAGAGAGGAGAGGCGCGAGCAGAATTGAGGAAGCAGGACTCAACCCAAACGCGTGCGGGTTTAGATGCCTGCCCCTTTCTCACCCACCCACACACACACAGAGATAGATACCGTCAGGAAGAAACATCCTGCCATGCGTATTGTATGTTTCCCTACTTGCTCCTCCCAGGATTGCAACTAAACCGCTCATCCTCCGCAGCTTCGTCAGCTGCATATAAATATTTCATGGGTTGGTAAAAATATATATTTTTTTTCACACATTTCACCATATTTCTTTCTTTGTTGTTGTTGTTTTTCCTTTGCCGCTGTTATCATGACTCATTCACTCACATTCCTTCTCTCTCTCTCTCTCTCTCTCTCTCTCTCCCTCTCTGCTTGTTTCTCTCCGCGCTCCCCCCTCCCCCCTCCGCCTCCACTTCGCCCCCGGGAGCGCAAGCGGGCGGGGCGGGGCAGCAGGCAGAACCGAAACCCAAAAAAAAAAGTTTCCTCGCCCAATGGCACAAACAACTCACAATACACAAAACTCAAGGAAAAATAACAACAAGGACGCGTGTGCAGGTGCCTTTCTACACGAGCTGCAGCAGAGCAACAGGCACACACACACACACGCACACGCGTGCGCATGTACGCATTAATTCATGGTTCCCACCCTCATCATTACTGCTCCTCGTGTTGATACTCCACAACTCTCCGCGGCTTCTCTCCGGACTCCTTGAACACAACACGCGCACGCGGCACCCGAAAGGGGAGTGGGGAGTGCGCAACGGCGATTTGTGTAATAGAAATTCAACGTGGAGGAAGAAAACAACGCAAACCCCCACTGAAATTGTTTTGATTGAATATATAAGACAATAGCTTGATGCAACTGTCCATTTTAACCCTAAGTGAACGGTCCCGTGCACGGGGACGTCTCGTCCTTAATATGCACCTGATATGTGTCAGGGAAGATTGATCACATCCACTGCAAACATGTCTGTGTGTATGTAAGCGGGGTATGTGGATGGTCGCAGCTACGCAAAGACAACCTCGCAGATGTACTTCTCTTCCGCGTCATGCACACTCTTATGGCCAGTGGCTGGTGCCGCGCTGATGGATCGGCCTGCGTACAACAGTTCGCGCTTCCCATCAGTGTAGAATTCAATGCGGGGCTCCACGTGGTTGTATGCGCCCTGGTTCCGCGGCTCCTCCTGCGCCCACATCAGTTCGGCATTGCTGTATTCCTGCAGCAACTTCTGCACCTCTGCCACCGGAAACGGCGAGAGCTCTTCAATACGGACGAGGGCCACATCGGTGATCCCCTTCGCTTCGCGGCGCTTCTTCAAAATGTGGTAAAGCTGCCCAGTACAGAGCACGAGGCGACGCGCCTTCGCAGGTGGCACCAGTGCATCCTCAATGACGGGGTAGAACCTTCCCGATGTGAACTCCTCCATCGTCGACTCGTTGGGGGAACGGAGAAACTGCTTAGAGAAGAATAAAATCAGCGGTTTGCGGAAGTTGCGCCGCACGTGTCGGCGCAGCAGGTGGAAGTACTGTGCCGGTGTGCTGGGGTACACCACCTCCAGGTTCACACGGTGTGCCCGCTCCTCTGGGGAGTATGCGGGGGTGTCGGCATCTTCCGAGACACTCTGCAAGAACCTTTCGAGGCGGCCGCTGCTGTGCTCTGCACCTTTCCCATCGTAGCCGTGCGGCAGCGATACAATTAGCGACTGTTGCTGGTTCCACTTCGATTCACCGGCGGAGAGGAATTGGTCAAAGATGATAGCTGCACCGTTGGCGAAGTCACCGTATTGTGCCTCCCATATAACAAGTGCATTCGGGTCGTGCAGGGAGTAGCCGCCGGCATAGCCAAGCACGCCATACTCGCTGAGAGGGCTATTGGTGATGGTGAACATCGCTTGCCCCTCACATATGTGTGCAAGTGGGGTATAGGTGGAGGCTTTCCTTTGGTTATGCAGGACAGCGTGGCGCTGTGAGAAGGTGCCACGCTGCACGTCTTCTCCTAGCACACGCACGTGAACTCCCTCCACCAGCAGTGAGCCGAATGCAATCGCCTCCGCCGCGCCCCAATCGATGCCTTTTCCTTTCGCCAGGGCTTCATTGCGGCGGTCCAACACAACTTGCAATTTGGGGTGCACCACAAATCCATCTGGCACAACCTTTAGTGCGTTCAATACAGGCTGCAGTTGCGTGAGAGAAACAGCTGTGGGTTCTAACGTCACATTGCCTAACTGATCCGAATATTTCATATTTCTCCACCGCTCTGGGATGCATGATTTGAGAAATTCACCGTACTTAACCCCTTCCGCCTTGCTCTGGAACTCCCCATACCGCTCCTTTTCGGAAATGGACTTTGCCATCTGTTGCTTCTGCGTGATAACCCCGTCCGCAATCAATGCCTCTGAATACTTGGTGAACAAATCGCCCATAGATTGAATGCGGTTGTACATGAGAGGCTGTGTAATTGTCGGATCATCGTTTTCATTGTGTCCAAAACGACGATAACAGACGAGATCAATAACAACAGATTTGTTGAACTTGGCTCGGAAGTCCGCTGCGAGTTCAAACACACGAACAACATCATCAGGGGAGTCACCATTGACGTGGAAAATTGGGCACTGGTAGACACGGCCCAAGTCAGTGCAGTAGGCACTGCTTCGTGAGCACTTGGGATCGGTGGTGAACCCGATCTGGTTATTCACCACCACATGAATCGTGCCGCCCGTTGAGAACTCACCCAACTCGCTCATGCCCATTGTTTCAAAGGCGATGCCTTGACCACTGAATGCGGCATCACCGTGTATTTCGATCGGGAGCACTTTCGAGCGGCCAGTGGGGCCAAATGAGACCTGCTCTGCCCGTGTATATCCTTGCACAAAGGGGTTAACCGCCTCGAGGTGTGATGGATTGGCGAGCAGCTCAGTGGCCATCTTCTTGCCGTTACGCAGCGTCGTGGTGGAGCGGGCTCCAAGGTGATACTTCACATCGGACTGAATCTTGAACGGTTCTAGCTCTGGCCCCGTGATGCCCATGAACTCCTTTAGTATCACCGGAAACGGCTTGTCGACGACATGGTAGAGCACATTGAGGCGACCACGGTGTGCCATGCCGATGTTCACCTTCTCCACGCCGTACTTTGACGAGGCGTCCATGAGGGCACGCAGGCCAACGATAAGGGACTCCGCCCCGTCGGCGCCGAATCTCTTCTGTGTAGAGTACTTGCGCTTGAAGAAGTCCTCAAAGTGAACGGAGGAGGCGACGATGTTCCACGCCCACAGCCGTTCCTCCTTGCTTAAGCGGCGGTGCAGCGGGTCGTAGACCCCACCCTCGCTCTCCACCGCCTCGCGCAGAAAGCGAGCGATACTGTTGTCGGCAATGTGTGACAGTTCGTGCCCGACCTTCCCGCAGTACCGCTTGGTAAGGTGCTCGTGCAGCTCCTTGATGGTCATGGGGCGGCTGTGGGCGTTCAGCACGCCACCCACCTCGTCCTGGAAGCCGACCCGCACCACGCGTTTGTAGTCGTCCGGCAGGAAGCCAAAGAAGGCAAGGTCGAGGCGCAGCAGCTCCCTGAACCGTCGTGATGGCGTGCGTCGCGTGGGGTCATCGTTGTCGTAGTTGAGCGGGTCGGTGGAGGCCATCAGGTGGCCGCGGTCCTCAAATGCCTGAATCATCCACGTCAGGCGGCCGCAGTCGTCAAGTGACTGCTTCACTGTCACGGCGTCGCCGACAGTGGCAGGTAGCACGCGGATCGGCGAGCTGAGGATGGGCGTATCGTACGATCCTAGCTCCCGCGCGGAGAAGACCTCATCCCACGACGAATCAACGGACTTCCTGTCCGCCTTCCAGCTCTGGTAAATAGACTCGAGGTACATGGCCGACGCGCCGTTGATGAAGCTGTCGTTTTCGTACAGCAGCCGGCGCGGCGGGACCTCTGACTGATTGCGGTGCTGCTGCAGGAGCGACATGGACGGCAGCACAAGACTGCGCGCCACGACACGCCGCTGCGGTGCGATCGTTGACGCCGGAATGAGACGACGCATCATTTGCTTCACCAAATGCTTGTTGCTTTGAGTTGGTGTTGTTCTACTTTTTTTTT